AAAAAATGGAATGCCCGTTTGAAAGGACCCTTACTCTATCCCAGTACTTCGCAAAGTGGACAATATCACCTCCTAAGGGGCTCTGGAACAATCCAGGGGGGTGGTAGAAGCCTTGGGGGCATTCAATAAAAGTAATGGGGTGGTAAAAGTATAAAGAAAGAGAAGAAAATTTGGAAAACCATTCATACATATTTCATCTGTTGTGTAACATAGAGTTAAAGTCATAGTGATTACGTTATGTTCCAAAAAAACACACAAAATGCAAGTTATAACAGATCAGTGGTCAAGTCTGACGGCAGGTCATAAAGCCCAACTTTGGGCAGAAAAAAAATGATCCCCTGCAGTGGGGCTGTGCCTGCACTTCAAGGGTTTGGAGGAGATCACCCAAACGCCATTCCCCCAGCAAATGGCACTTCCCCACGATCCAGGGGTAGACTGTTCCTGGCATCTTCACTAAACTCTGCTCAGGATTCAAGACCACTAGCCAGCAGGGATGCAGGAGCTACAGGGACTAGTCTTGTGTGGAGAGGAGCAGAGAGTCGGGTAAGTATATCTCCTTTCATCTTTTTCCTAAGGGTCTGATCAAATCTAGACAGATGAGCCACATCAATCCAAGGACGCCAGATCTGTAGAAACTTAGTGTGGATGTTAAACAGCATAGCCGTTAGCTTCTCATTAACCATTATAAAGTTCATTCGATTCTTAACCTCTTCAAAGCTAAGAAGAAGGGTTTTCCAGGCTTTCGCGATCATCAATTTGGTAGCCATAAATAGATCCGATGCTAACTGCCGTTCAGGGTGGAGCAGGCCCACTAGTGGTTTAAATAATAGTGCCTCATATCGGTTATGCTTAATATCTGTGTGTAGCATAGTGCGGTGGAGGGCATAGACCCTAATCCATAGTCTGCATACCTTGGGGCAAGTCCACCAAATATGGGCCATGGTGCCTATTTGTTGACAACCCCGAAAGTAAGTTGGAGAATATGATGGAATATAGCAGGCGTTTAATACCATCTATAAAAGGACCTTGTAGGCATTTTCTAGGATAATAACGTTCCTCGAGCATTTAGATAATGCCTGAGTTATGATCCGCTAGTCCTGCTGATCTAGACAACCCCCGAGTTCTGATTGCCACTGCTGATGATAGGAGCGAACCGGGGGAGCCCGATAAGAAATGATAGCGGAGTAGACAAGGGAGATCAAGCCTGATGCATGAGGCCTATGCCTACAAAGACTTTTGAAGGGAGTCAGCCTATAGGGACCCGAATGGGTTCTTAATAATGTAGTAAGAAAATGCTGAAGTTAAAGGTAGCTAAAATGTTCCCTCAACGGGATGTCATGTGAAGAACGCAAAGTCGCAAAAGTAAGTATCCGGGTGGAATGTATGTCATTGAAGCCATGGTCTGACCATCACACAAACTGGCCAGGATTATCGAGGCCTGGGGGAAGCAATGTGTTGTTAAATAGGTGCCTCAGGGGTAAGTGAGCAGAAATAAGACCAGCCGAATATTTAATTGAGTCCCAGAGACGAAACGTATGTGTTAATGTCGAGCTTAGGGGTGATGGGCGATGAACGGGGGGAGCCACGGCAAAGAAGAAAGTGACGTCAGATGGGAGTCTATCATATCCACTGTGGCCCACAAGGTAATATTGTGAGATGTGTGAAGATGGGCTAGTGGAGCTATGTTTGCCACTAAATAGTATGCATGAAGATTCGGGAGAGACAATCCACCTTCGCCCCTATGGGCAAATAAAATTATTTTATTACTTCTAGGGCGAGAGGAGCCCCAGGCAAAAGATAGAAGCTTCCGTTGATGAATGCGTAAGATATGCAAAGGGACAGGGATCAGTAAAACCAGAAACACATATAGTAATTTTGGGAGATAAGTCATACGGATCGCATTAATTCTTCAAAACCATGAAAGCGGGAGATGAGCCCAGAAAGACAACATTTCCCTTAAAGACACGGGAAATTAGCTTGAAATAAGCCTTCGTAAGACGGGGTGATCTTAATCCCCAAGTATGGTAGGACTAAAAGCCATTGAAAAAAAAAATGATTGCTTTAGAGTTACCAGCAGTGTGGGGGAGAGGGTGATAGACATGACTTTGGATTTAGCGGGGTTGACATAGAGACCTGAAAGAGCAGTGAAGGAGTCCAGAACCGCCAATAAGTTGGGCAGAGTAACCCCCGGGTTAGTAACAAACAGTAGTATGTCATCCGCAAACAATGACAGTATATGCTGGGAGCCGGCTACATCCAGCCCTTTAATTTCAGGATGCATACAGATAGCCTCTGCCAGGGGTTCCAAAGCCAAGCTAAATAATAATATGGGAGATAGCGTGCAGCCCTGCCTAGTTCCTCTACCAATCCGAAACGTCGAGGACTCAAATCCATAGTATTTGAGTTTTGCTTGGGGACATGTATATAGCGACAAAATCCAAACACAAGAAAGAGGGACCAAAGTCAAAATGGTGAAGGACCCACATGAGATAAGGCCAGGATAAGGTGTTGAAGGCCTTATTTACTTCCAGAGATAAGAGTATCATTTCAATTTTGCGAGTGTGAGCCTGGTGTTGTAACTGTAAAATTCGTCTGATTGTGTCTATTGCTTGTCTATGGGGGACAAAGTCCACCTGGTCTTTTTTGTTCAGACGAGAAAGGAAAGAGTTCAAATGGGTAGCTAAAATTTTTTTAAGGATTTTCACATCGACATTGATAAGAGAGATTGGTCTATAATTCGCCCAAGAGGAATGGTCCCGATCCTGTTTCGGGATCATGACCACGTTGGCAGTCAGCAAATCATGGGAAAAGGCTGAATCTCCCTTCACTGCATTAAACATGGCTGCGAGGTGAGGGGCCAGAACATCAGCCAATTTTTTATATAGTACAAGGCCGTGTAACTATCAGGTCCTAGACATTTGCGAGTCTTCAAATCAACGATACAGCGCAAGACTTCCGATGTTTGAATTTCACGGTCCATCAAGTCTCTATGAGCTTGGGTCAGGGTAGGCAAAGACAATCGAGATAAAAAATTGGAGATAGCATGGGGTTCCATAGGGTCTGTGTAAAGTTTAGCAAAGTGGAACCGAAACTCCTCCAACACCTCTGCAGGATTACTTGTTATGAGATTATATCGAGTACGCAAAGAAATCAGTTTTAGATTGTGCGTAAAAGAACATAAACCTGTGCGCTAGCATAGAGTCCATTTTATTTGCTTTACTGTACCACCTCTGGCTTCTCCAGGAGCGTTCAGCCTTATCCGTTAAGCAAAGATCCAATTCCAGGCTTGCCTTGGTCCAACAGCCTTCGGTTGGAGTTGGAGATTGTTTAAATTGAGATGACACAGAAGCTATTTGTGTTTCAAGCTAACGCTGTTTGTGCTATCTCTCCCATTTGCACCTTGAGGCCATTCGGATAATATGACCCCCAAGGACTGCCTTGTATGCTTCCCACAATGTCACCAATGAAGAGACAGAACCTGATCTGAGTTGAAAATATTCCACAGATTTGTGCAGGAGATCCGCCTGAACTTTCCTCAGCGACAGCAAGGAATCATTTATACTCCAAGAGGAATAGGAAGGCTTGCAAAGAAGGGATTGACAACCACCAAAATGGGGTCATGATCAGACCATGGCACAGTAAGAACAGAAATGGAGCGCACAAGAGGAAGATGTTTCTGTAAGACTAAAGCATGATCAATTCTGGAGTGAGAGTGATGAGGGTGCGAGTAATAAGTGTAGTCTTTCCCCCCAGGGTGGAGCTCGCACCATAAGTATACCAAATCATGCGTCCGTAAGGTTTGAGTGAAAGATTTGGCTGCAGGGGAGGGGTTAAAAGTCCTCTGAGGGATTCAGGCGCGATTTCAATTCCCAAATTACATCTAATGAATGTGAATGTCAGTGTCTTAACATTTGCAATTTGCTGCAGCGTCATTTCTAAAGTACTTCTTGCATTACTTTTTCTGCAGTTTTACTGCGATTTCACATACATAGAATATACTGGAAATCGCACTGCAAATTGCAAGAAATTTATGAAAATCTTCACAAGTAGCCACAAATTGTGCGATTTTAAATCACAGCGGTGTGACCAGTGACGAAAGGTGAAAGATGGAGACAATCAGGAAGCAGGGACACCTGTCTGCCCCAAAACAGAGCATGTTTATTTATTACAGGTAGTTATACAGCACCAACAATTTATACAGCACTTTACATATATATTCTACATTCACATTGGTCCCTGCCCAAAATATTTTAATATAAAATATATACATTTTATTGGATATGTTTTATAGCAGCAAGTAAAAAAATATTGTGTTGTATAAAAATTTTCGGTCTTTTTTCCTTTATATCGCAAAAAAAAAAAAACCCATTGGTGATCAAGTATCACTCAAAGAAAAAAGAAAAAAAAAAATGCTAGAAATTTTGTTTTTTATTATTATTATTATTATTATTATTATTATTATACAGGATTTATATAGCGCCAACAGTTTTCTCAAGCGCTTTACAATATAAAGGGAGACAATACAGCAACAATACAGTTCAATACAAGAGGGATAGGAGGGCCCTGCTCCTTGGAGCTTACAATCTAGGAGTGTTTTGATACAGCATTACATGACCGCGCAATTACCAGTTAAAGTAGCGCAGTGCAGTACAGGAAATAATGGCCTGGTCATGAAGGGGGGTAAAGAAGGTAGATTTCCAGGTGGGTGCTGAGCCATTAGTTTTTTTTTTCTGAAAAGGGGCCACATAAGTCTGGGACCCTCTGCTGTGTCCGCAATGGGAAAAGCTCTCTTTAGATTTCCTTTGAGCTGCAGTCTCGCTCTTGGACAGTAGATGGCGCTGCATGGACGTGCTGAGCGGCGCCCATGGCTGGGGCTTTCTGCACATGTGCACAGGCTGTGAAGAGAGGGACAGACTCACAGGAAATCAGGGAGAATGCAAATACAAAGTGCGTGTGGGAGTGAGAGACCCAGGGGGAGAGGGAAATGTCTGGCCTGAGCGCTAACAAAAGCCAGAGGCGAGCAGGCATGGAGGAGCAGGCTGCACCAGTCCAGGGAGGCTAATTGAACTTGCAGAGATCCCAATCAGCGCACATTGCAGGGATCGCAGCCCCTCCATAGGGATCACACCTCCTCCATAGGGATCACACCTCCCAGCAGGATCCCTGGTGTGGGCATCCACAATGTTCTCCATGAAACAAGCCAAACCTACCTTCAGATCGTACCTTCTGCCTCCACAGGTAGGTGATCTGCCCATAGATGGGTCCATGGTATTGGGGGGGAGGGGAGGCCTGGGGGCTCCTTGCTCTAAGTGTCACTTGGAGTTTGCATGGACTTGCAGAGTGCTGGGTGTAGATGGCTGGGAGCGCGCTGTGCACATGGCTCTTATCTCCATACATTGCAGACCCAATGGCTCATGGAAAATGTCATCTGTCTTTTCCAGCATGAAGATAAACTCAGCCCGGAGACCAAGATTAAGAAGCTGAAGGCAATCTTGCTGCCAGGTAAGAGGGAGAAGTGTGTGGGGCGCGGGGACCATTGTCCATAGTCTGTCCCTGTCGCTGGGTCCCGTCTGTAGATTACTCTTCATTCAGGTTTGACAAGTTCCATCGTCTTCCATGTTTAAAGGTGAAAGATGGAGAAAATCAGGAAGAAGAGACACCTGTCTGCCCCAAAATAGAGATGTGCACCTTCTTGTTAATGCAGGAAGACCCACGGGGATCAGGTGAAGACGGTGCCCAGGGGTCCTTTAAGTGGGCATTAAACACTTGAGCTCCGGAAGATCTTACCCCATCATGACCCCAATAAGTGTATATTGATTGGTTTGTGTGAAAGTCATAGCACTGACAAACTATGGGATATACACTGGAACTCTTTTCTCTTTTTTTTTTTTTTTTTATATACTACTAATGGCGGTGATCAACAACTTTTAACGTGACGGCGATAGTGAGGTGGGCAATCTGACGTTCATTGACACTGAAGGGGGATTGACTAACTGCCACTGACATCACCAGTGATATTAATACAGTGAGAAAACACCCAACATTCTGCGCTGCATTTGCTAGATCTTTCATTCTTGATTGGATAGTGTATGGGGGACTTACAATAATTGGAAATCATCAGCATGTGAATCTACAGAACTGCATATCGGTAATAAAACCATCAACCATTTGTGTGCAATGGTATATACAATTTAAATGTATGCAACAGGGTTCCATAAACAAAAAAAGTGTGTATGTATGTATGTGTATATATATATATATATATATATATATATATATATATATTCCCAGAGGTAAGCTTGTGATTAATTAGTTTGTTGCTGGGGAAGGCTGCCTTCTGAGTGGGCTGGTGGGAACCCAAGTTCTTTTCTCTTTTGTATATGCAGTAAAGCATGCTTGTTATACTCGCTGTGGAACCTAAGGGATTAATCCTCTGCATTGTGTAAAAAGGCTTTTTGATCCTGGCTTCTCTGGTCCTCCCCTTCTTCCAGTGTCTTTCCCTTATCTCCTGATCAAACATATTGTGTGGAGTCACTCTGCATGTACTTGGTTTGGTGTATATGGCTAGAGAGGTGTTTTTTTGTTTTTCTTGGGAGAGCGCATGTGATCAGCACAGGGCCAATCAGAACTGTCCAGAGCTCAGGGATTCTGCATTCTCCTAGAGCAAAATGAAAACTCCTTCTACAAGCTTTAACCAGTGCTCTGCTGAACACAAGACTGCTCTAACTGCTGATGAGAGTATTTAGCAGTTTATATTTACTAAAATAATTGCACTTCCATGTTGTGTGTAGTGAGGGAGATCAGATATAGTGAATGCAGGGTCCTGGGTTTAGTAACACTAATATGATGATATTATACACTGTACTAATGACACTGGCTGGGAAAGGGTGAGCATCTAGGGCGATCAATGGATTAAATGTGTGCCTAACTACATGTAAAGTGTGCTGCTTTTGCTAACAGATCTCTAAGTTTCTCATCCCTGCAAGGCAAACACAGAGATGATTCTTTCTGAACAAATCTCTGTGTTGATTGCCAACATAGAGCTCTGGCCTGTGATTGTATACAGCTGGTCAGCAGGTCCCAGCTGTGGCTGATTGGCTTGGACTTGCTGACAGGTTCCCACTATGTACAATCACAGCCGCCGGGATCGGTGCATACTTTGTCTACAGCTGCCGCCCGTCCGCAGTACATTGCAGGAAGTGGTTAAAGGATAATTACACCTTTAAAAAAAAACAAAACAATAATGATAAATGCACATTTTTGCTGCTAAAAAAAAGTCAAGTACATTTATTATTATTTATTATTATTTTTTTTAAGGAGTATGCAGAGCATTGCACCTAGCAGTTTGCGGGTTCATTGTCAGACTCCTGCTTTCTCACCTGTATCTCTGTACAGGTTGTCTGTTTGAAAGCTGGAGGAAGTGTCAATGAACTAGGAGAGTGCTCATCAGCATCCTTACAATCCATTGAGAACTACAAGCTGTCTGCTTTGGTGACGGTCAGGGCTTTTAGTTTCTTTATTCACAGATCTCTGGGGGAGCACTGCGCAGCTGCGCCAATTTGAAAATGTGACAGTGGCTGCAGGGAAGAGAAAACCCCACCGCTGTCATGTTACATGTTGCACCCCAAATACAGGTGTAACCAGGGGCGGACTGACCATTGGGGAACTCGGGCACTGCCCGAGGGCCCGGGGTCAGTAGGGGGCTTCATGAGATGTCCCTGGTACCTTTTCATAGGCTTTTTTAGGTGTGATTTGAGTGTGGGCGAGAACACGTGCCCCGTGACCCTCTTTTGCCCGGGGGCCCCATGAGTTGTCAGTCCGCCCCTGGGTGTAACATATTACTAAAGCTGAACTTAGCCTTTATTACCCATGAGGTGGCATAGTTCCTGTATCACGTGTCCACTGTGATTGGCTCTCACAGCAGTCATATAATAGGGAGCCTGTCCTGCTGACTCCTGATCAGAAGCCTTGACAGAGAGCTGTTGGTGACAGTTTGGTCACTTTCCTAGGAATGTACATTGAGTATGCTGCTCGCACACAACCTTATGCTGCTGTGGGCATTAAAGCCCACCTTTTCTTGCTGCCTTACATGTGCTGTATACCATTGTTTCTCAATAGGGGAGCCAAAGCACCCTTGGGTGCCAATTAGGTTTCCTTTTGGTGCTGCTAGCACAGGGCCCAAAGTGGGTTGGCCACCAGCAATATAACAACCATTCATGTTCTTGGGCAGGATGCACAACAATACAACGCCCGCACCATGACAGTACATGACCCTGGACCAAGGCAGGTGGCATGCAGGGCCACCTCCAACATCCAGGAGAGGACAGTCTACATCCTCCAGACCTGCTGCAGCCAAAAGGTTTGACTCTGGTGTAAAGAGGGGACACTTATCTTTGGGGTTCTCTGATGTGAAGGGGAATGGGGGGATCCCTATTGTGAAGGGGACGCTTTGAAGTTAATTTCAACAAGGTGGTTGTGTGCATAGTTATAGGCTCAGATTTCTCTTTGACAAGTACGTTTTATGCGTTTCGCATTTTACACTGGGGTGTTTACATATTTTAAAGGAGTAACACAATTAATTTAAAAAAAAAAAACAAAAAAAACTGCTCAACACTGTCAGCAAGAGGTCACCTTTCGAAAAAATACCAAAATGAAAAAATCGCCAAAAAAAGGTACATTTCAAAGGATAGGTTCACCTTTTGGACACAAATAACACAATGCATATTGTTTTGCAGGTAAAAAATGTACATTTATTATTTTTGTCCAGAGGAGCCATTGCCTATTTTTGTCCAAAGCATTGCACCAGTGATCAGTAGATTGCTGATGCCATGCAGGTCTCCTGCAGACCTGTCAGATTATCTTCTTGCTGTACGGGATGTCCGGCCTAGCAGATATTCTGACACGAAGCTCATATGAACTACCACAGTACTCCACAGTGCTGTGGTAGTTCATTGAAAACTACAAGCCCACACCTGCTAAGGCTGTCGGAACTTACAGTTCATTCACGGAAGTCCACGAATGAACGACATGGCTGTGTGGGTGGAGCCCCGCGCGCCCGCATTGTGTTCAAATCTGACAGATCGTACAAGGAGGCTTCTCCGTGTATTCTCTGTCATAGGTGAGGTGGCGGCTGCAGCTATGAGAACGTGTTGCATGTTCCACCCTAAAAACAGGTGGAACATGTAACATGTTCCCAAAGGTGAACTTATCCATTACATTTATTTTTTCATTCAGGCCTGCTGAGTATTGCAGCCATGATCAGTGCATCACAGGTGAATGCTCAGGCTCCTGCATTGTTTACATATCAGCCCCAGGTCCATATGGAGCTACCATTATGGGGCTGGAGGAAGTAAACAATGGATTACAATGCAGTGATGAAAATCTAGGCCCCTCTGCAGTATGTGGTGGACATAATTGTGGGGACGGAGCCAAGCTGAGTTCCAACACAAATGGCTGCCGGAAGAAGCACCCTCGATTCAGGGAAGTGGGGGGATTGGATAATGTGACCATGTTTTCATGATAAACATTACATATTGGTGACAATTTGCTGTCAAACGCCTCTGAAAAGCAATTCACTGCCACAAGGTCTGCTACAAGTGCAGGTTAGAGCTTCTTTCTGTCTTTCCTGTTTTCCATACTTGTTCTGGGTCAGACTTAAGCCCAGAAGGTTCCACAGCCAGGGAACTAGCATTTCTGAGAGGAGGCCAGCAACAATAACCCCGGGTTTCTTTTAGGAAAAAAGTATTTTCTAGGTTTTTGTGGCCTAGAACTACATTAACTTCAGGATGATGATTTACTGAGGGGAGCAGAGAAGGGAAACTGTTGAGGTAATGATTAAATAGCTCCATGTGAGTCAAATAATTCCTCGTTAGCCTGTAAGGTGTTCTGCAGCTACATGCACATTAGGCACAGTGAGCTTCCGCCTTGTTGCATGAGATCCTGCCTCATTGGTGTGAGCAGAAGGCACAGGCACACGATTACCTCTGCCGGTGTGTTTAGTTTGTGCTGCTCTAGGCAACACTGAAATCAGGCGCCCACCAGCACCATCCTTACCCCCCCCCCCCCCCTCAACTGCTGCCGACATTTGCAGTCCATCACCACAATTCCACCCCCCCCCATCTCATCAGTGCCACCACCGACCAATGCACATCCCCTCCCCCCCCAACGTGGCGCTGCCCCCCCCCCCCCCCCCCGAAAATTGCCGCCTTAGGCAAATGCCTTAGTTGCTTTGCTGTAAATATGTCGCTGCTTTAGGGCAGTATTTGCATAGGGACAAATTCCCACATGAGCATTCCCCCCCCCCCCCACCCCCACCCACGGTTATATGAACACGCAAGGAGACAGCTGCCTTGACAGACAGTACTTTCTTCATCTCTATACTGCATATTTGTTGGTAAATATAAACCCATCCAGCAACTTTTTTTTTTTTTTTTTTTTTTTTTTTGCGTTAAAGTTTTGGATGAAATGAGGAAGAGTTTAAACCTCAATTTGTTTTTTTTTGTTGCTGTCTGTGTCATTGTTGGGAGATTTTGCTACAGAGCGCATGCAACGGTGACGTCCCTGGCTGCAAACCGAGTGAATATCTCCT